CTCTAAAGGTATGTTAATTGACTTTTATTACATTTAGTTTTATAGTATATTCTTCTTAGGGGCAGTTATAACCTTTCGAGTTTTAAATCTTGGGTGGGAAAACTTAGTAGATATATGAATTATAGTAGGATTAATGATTTAAAAAGTAGCAATTTAGATAAAATAGATGCTTGGATAGATAGTAAAAATAATTTTAACTTAGATAATAATACAGAGTAGCGAGAAGGAACTCTCATTCTATGGGTTAGGGCTCGAGAAATTCCTCCCTTTAAACGTCCATTACCCATGCTTTTTATTAAATTTATTTTTTAGTAATCTTATATTCAATAAACTATCTAATTAAAATCTGACAAATTGATCAAGAGAACATATTGAACTATATTATCTCTAATCCATTCAGTATGTGTTAAATGCCATCCTGAATATTCTGTGTTTCCTGATGTAACATACTTCTGGAAACGAAAATTATTAAACGTGTCGTCCATGTTTGGAACAACGAAATATAGATGAATTAGTAGATCTTTCAGGTGATTTTCCAATTTACTGAGACCGTTTACCTGCAAAGCATTGCACATAAATATTCAGCATGTAATGGTAGATACAGGCCAATATAAAGACCAATATTTTATAAAGACCAATATTTACCTTTATATCATGTGTTTTGGCTGTCGTAATTTGATATAAATGATGAATTCCGTTACGTTGAGGTGCAATGGAGTCAACAGATTCAAAATTTACATTTTCGGGAATGTTATAATACTCCGGAACTATTTCATTAATATTACGAAACTGTTTTTGTGGCAAATTTTGAAGTTGAAGTTCTTCAGGTTGCTTAATGCCATCTTTGGTTAACTGTCGTACTGTAAAAGTGGCACCTTTTCTCAAAATATCATGTGCAACCATTTCAAAAATTTTTCCAGCTAATGTACCGCCAGCACCTTTCGTGAAACTTCAGATTATTTTGACAATTATGTCTTTTGTGTGTTTTTTATAGTGCTTGAACAGTGCCTCACATATTTCTGGTGAAGCGGGAACGTATGTTTTATCAGTAAAATCAATATTAGGAATTATATGTATGGCTT